GGGGGGGTATGGCCCGGTCAGGCCGGATCGGGGAGGGGGCACGGTGGTCGTCCGCTCCAGAAAACCTTCAAGTGACCCTGTGAGAGGTGAAGTAGTAAGTGGGATGGCCATTGCGGTGACTCGCTCACTAATTATAAACACCTTCGACCCCATTTACGCCACAATCGTGGTAATTTATTATAGTCAACCCAGCCTCGCAATTTAAGTTTGTGGGCAGGGAGGGGATACACCCAACTGTACCCGAGCTGATTAAGGTTTTATTAACTGTTGATAACAATCGAATTTAAAAAATGTAATATGCACAACACTCTTAAGGTTCACGAAAGAAAAGATTGCTATGTTAGGCAGCTTTCGGAATGCCTTACACACCTTCGTAACTGATAAATGCCATTTTAAATAACTGAAGGATCGAAATGGTATGTAGCTAGACAATGCCATTAATATTATAATGGCATGTGAATGTTTGAAAGGATTCATCGGGGAAACTCTACACCTCTCGCTACTGTGAACAGAAATGTCATATATAAGTACTAAGAAACAAATATGCTAAGACATCTTATTATAATAAGAGGAAAATTATCGAACGAGGTCGTTCGGCCGAGTTCATAACCCATCGAGTATTGTAGAAAGATGTCATGATACGAATATCGAACAACGTTTAACACACTTTGTAAAAATATTAAATAATCTGACATCACATCTGACTATTTCATCAAAGTGACAGACTGGTATTGTTAGTAATTTTTAATAAGACTTGTATTATTAAAACATTTGAATAGTTATAATAAATATTAAGAAACCGATGTTCGTAAATAATAGGTCATAAATTATTGAACACTCATATTCTAATGATACCTAATACGAAGCATATTTCAATTTCTTTCATCTTCAATTTAGACGCGTACTTGAAAAGGGAATTTGACATTTTGAATAAGGTTTCATTGTTCACCGCTTCAGTTTTAACGATTTATTTTATTTTTCGGTCGTTTTCGAATATTTCTGGAAGGTTAGTGATGAACTGCAGTTATTATTTACGATTTGCGAAGTTGCGTTTATGCTAAATAACTGCTTGATCCACGTGGATGCATCCATTTCATTCATATGGTGCTCCAGAGAACTACTAAAGAAGTTCCAATTCGAAAAAAACATGAAACGCATCATTAGTGCAAAATGCTCTCCGTAAACGTATTATTTTTTTTACGAATGAAACCTTTAGAATAAGTGGCATCTTTATAATAGACCTTTTATATTATAAGATTAAGAGTAATTTTTATTAAATTAATTACATGCCAAGTTCGGCGATTATTCGCAGTTACACGCTGTAATAATATTTATTTTGTAAATTATGACAATATTACTATAATAAATTTATTTCATATGCTTAAAATCTGTAGTAATTATTTTTATATAAATAGAATGCCACAAATTCTATGAATATAAAACCAACAAATGTTATCATTACAGTTCCAAGTATTCTATACAGTTGAACCCTTGACCAGTTATAGTGAAAGTAAAACAAAATTACTGGAATTACATGGATACGTTTGACATTCAAACTAGATCCAAAACCAGACGGAGTCTTTTGAAATTTTAATCATTTGATTGACAAAAATACTCAATATTTATACTTAGCTGACATGCGCACGATTATGAGTGTTGTAATCGTCAGAGGCTGGTTTAATTTCCCCCGGTAGTCAAGGGAGGACACCACACTATTAATGTTCCGGCAACAAAAGACAGAATCAATGCGTAGTGAAGCCAACATTTGCGGTGTTGAAACCAACGCTCCCCCAGCCCCGCCTAACGCGCGCGGCGCGTGGTGTGTTCGCAGCTCGCGGGCGGCGCAAGAAGCTGCGCCAGATGATGCCGCTGCTGCTGGTGGGCGGCATGAAGATGGTGGGCGTGGCGACGCTCATGTACCTGAGCATCGGCTTCCTGGCCAAGAAGGCCTTCCTGCTGTCGCTGCTCTCGCTGCTCATCTCGGGCTTCATCGCGGTGAAGAAGGTGCTGCAGCAGCCGCACCCGCACCACTACGAGGCGTACCCGGTGCACGGCGGCGGGTGGGCCGGCGGCGGCGGCGGCGGCGGAGGCACTTTCGACATCTCGGGCTACTCGGGCGCTCACGCCGAGTACACCGCGCACTCGGCCCCGGTGGGCCACGCCGTCGCCTACAGCGCGCACAAGCCCGGCGCGCGGTGATGGCGACCGCAGCGACCACGCCCCCCGCCGCGGCGGGGGCCAAGGCGCAAGCGCCAGGTGAGCGGCGCCGCGCGCGCGCCTGCAAAGTGCGGTCAGGCGTCAAACTAACAGGCAGTCAGACGTCAAACTAGCAAACTAGCTAATCGTAAAAAAGACTGGCAAACTATCGAGGTTGGGGCGATCATTTTATGGCAGAATTCAAGTTTCTCGGTGGGCTGCAGAGTGCGTGCAAGTAGTTTCTCTTCCTCCGCAGAAGGGGCTGGCGAATTATCAGGTATATGTCGGTCATTTTATGTCATAATTTAATTCAATTTTCCCGATGGGCGGCAGTGTGTGCTCAAGTAGTTCAACCGTAAAAAAGACTGACGAAATATCAGGCTTGGGACGATCATTTTATGGCAGAATGTAATTCAAGTTACCCGGTGAGCTGCAGAGTGCACGCAAGTAGTTCAACCGTAAAAGGAACCGGCGAACTATCAGGCTTGGGTCGATCACTTTATGGCACAATTCAAGTTTCCCGGTGGGCTGCAGAGTGCGTGCAAGTAGTTCCTCTTCCTCCGTAGAAGGGACTGGCGAATTATCAGGTATATGTCGGTCATTTTATGGCAGAATTTAATTCAATTTTCCCGGTGGACAATAGAGTGTGCGCACGTAGTTCCTCCGTAGAAGAGACTGGCGGAGACTGACGGAGACTCCGTAAAAGAGACTGGAGAAGAGACGAAATATCAGTCTTAGGGCGATTTTTTATGGCAGAATTCAAGTTTCCCGGTGGGCTGCAGAGTGCACGCAAGTAGT